AGACTAAAAAGAAGGGTAAGGTGGGAAGGATTTAAAATATTCTCATAATGGAGGAATAACTGTTATAATCTTAAGACCTAAAACCCAACATGGACAAACACTACTGAGTCTGAGAGGTTGCATTGCTCAGTAAGCCTCCACAAAGAAAAAAATAAGGGGGGGGGGGGTTTACAAGACATTTTTTGGCTTTTAAATGACCAACTTTTCTTAGAACCAATCTTATTATCAATGCCATCATCACTTTGAACTGTTTTGAGAATCATATTCCTTCTTGTATGTTTCAAAACTTATACTGAACAACTAGTTCTGGGTCTGGGTTACTAAAGAGGATTAATTATTGCACCTGTCTTTTAAGTCTTTATCCAGTTGAATAAAAACACACACAAGGGGCTGAAAGATGGCTCAGCAGTTAAGAGTACTTGCTGCTCTTCCAGAGGACCTGAGTTCAGTTCCCAACACTGGCTATTCTCCTACCTCAGTCTCCCATATGCTGGGCTTGTCAGCAAGTATCAGCATGATCAGTTTATTTTGTTGTTGTTTTGTGTGTTTGTTTTGAGACAAAATCTCTTACTCTATAGCCCAGGCTGACCTCAAACTCAAGGTAATCCTCCTGCCTCAGCCTCCCAAGTGCTGGAATTATAGGCATAAGCCACCACACCTGGTTGATTTTACAAACTTCTAAGAAGGGTATAGAATATTTATAGGTATCAATGAATGCAAAAATTCCTTCAGTTCATACCTTTTTAGATTTAAATTAACATATATATATATATATATATATATTATACATTCTTCCAATAGAAAAACTTCCAATAGTGAAGCCCCAGCAGGGCATGATGACAAATACATGTAATTCTAACACTTGGGAGGTGGAGGATCAAGAGTTCAACACCAGACCAGCAAGATGATACATGGGTAAAGGCATTTGCTGGCAAGCCTGATCACCTGAGATTATCCCTGGAAGCCATATGGTAGAAGCAAAGAATCAATGCCACATGTTATCCTCTGACCTCCACACATGCACTATAACACACACACACACACACACACACAGAGAGAGAGAGAGAGAGAGAGAGAGAGAGAGAGAGAGAGAGAGAGAGTGTGTAAATAAAAATGTAAAAAAAAAAATTTAAGAGTTCAAGAGGATAGAGAGATGGCTTGGCTATAAAGAACACTTGCTGCCCCCATTAGGCAACTCACAACTACCTGTAACTCCAGCTCCAGGGGATCTGACACCCCTTTCTGGTCTCTGTGGGCACCCACACACATGTGCACATGTTTACACAGACATATACATAAATAAAAATAAAATTAATCTTTTTTAAAAAAAGGAGTTCAAAGCTGGGCATGGTGGCACACACCTTTAATCCTAGCACTTTGGAGGCAGAGGCAGGTGGATCTCCATGAGTTCAAGGCCAGCCTGGTCTACATAGTGAGTTTCAGGCCTGCTGGGGCTACAGGTAGACCCTGTCAAAAAAAGACCAAATTAAAATTAAATAAATAAATAAATAAATAAATAGAGTTCAAGGCGGGCTAAACTACATAGGGAGTTTAGGGCCAGCCTAAACTACACAAGACCCTGTCTCAAAGCAACAATAATAAACAAATAAATAAAAACAGTGAAGCCCCATTTCATGATATAAAGGAAGGTGGGGAACTTGTTTCAAAAATACTTATGGAATGCGGGCTGGAGAGATGTCTCAGCAGTTAAGAGCACTGGCTGCTCCTGTACCCACGTTGTACAAGTACAGTGCCCGTGGAGAATAGAAGAGGCCATCAGATCCCATGAAACTGGAGTTACAGGCAATTGTTAGCCGCCATGTGGGTGCTGGGAATCAAACCCAGGTCCTCTGCAAGAGCAATTAGTGCTCTTAACCACTGAACCATCTCTCCTGCCCTAAATAAAACTACTTACAGGACATATAAATATTACCTTTTGTTGTTGTTTTTCTTTTTGAGACAGGGTCTCCCTGTAGCCCCAGCTGGCCTGAAACTCACTATGTAGACCAGGCTGGCCTGGAACTCACAGAGATGGGCCTGCCTCTGCCTCCCACATGCTGCGATTTAAAGGTGTGTGCCACCACACCCAACTTATAAATATTATCTTAGTGGCAATCAAAAAGAACAATGAAGCCAAATGTGATAACATGCCTGTCATTTTAGCACTTGAGAGACTGAGACATAAAGATTTCAAGTTTGAGGACAGCCTGGTCCACATAGCAAGATTCTGTCTCAAAAAGGGAGAGGGGGAAGAATACTAAAATGCCAGTAAGCCAGCAGAAGTTTGGCAAAAGGCATAAAACAAACTATGAAGTCCCTGAGAGGAACCAACCATAGAAACATGTTAATCTTGGACACTGGGCATCCAGAAGTGTGAAACCATAAATTCCTGTTGTTCAACCCACCCAGTTTGTTATGGCAGCCATGGCAAGCTAGTATAATTATAAGTCACCTCTAGTGACTATAGATAGCAAAAAAAAATTTTTTAGTTACTTTTAGGAGCTGGGAGTGACCCCAGGAGGAGGTAAAGTGCTTGCCTGGCATGCAACATGCACTAAGTTCAATCTAGCACTGGGGAGAAAAAAAAAATTGAGTCAAATATACAGGTCAGGAACCTCTCATGGGAAAACAAAAACAATGACATATTCTGTATTTTAACTATGCCCACAACGAACTGAACTTCATCTTTTTCTTTCTTTTTTTTTATTTCTATTTTATGTGTTTGAGTGTTTTGCCTGCACATAAGTGCACCCATGTTGTACAATGTCTGTGGAGATCAGATGAGGACATCAGAGCCCCTGGAACTGGAGTTATGGACAGTTGTTAGCCACCATGTAGGTGCTGGGAACCAAACCCAGGTCCTCTGGAAGAGCAGTCAGTGCTCTTAATCATTGAGTCATCTCTTTAGTTCCTAAATTTCCATCTTTCTGGAGAACCTGGAATATCACCTAAGTAGGTCAAGCCCTAGTTCTTAGAAAATATTTTTCTCTAACCATAAGAACTATGTACTATTCCTGGTTATTCTGTACCATGAACTCTACAGTAATTCAATATATATATATTGAATTATATATATAATATACATAATTCAAATTTAAATATTAAAATATTTAAAACATACTGAAGGGGCTGGAGAGATGGCTCAATGGTTAAGAGCACTTCTTGCTCTTCCAGAGAACCTGAGTTCAATTCCCAACACCCACATTGGATAGTTCACAACCACCTGCAACTCCAGCTCTAGGGGATCTAACACCCTCTTCTGGCCTCCAAGGGCACCCACACGTAGGGCATTCACTTACACAGACACACACGTACACATAAATAAAAATAAAAAATTCAAAAACATACTGAAAAGAACAATATGCAGGGTATGGTGACATTCTGTAATCCTAGCATTTGGGATGGGAGGAAGGAAGAGCAAGAGTTCAAAATCAGGGCTGGAGAGATGCTCACAAGTTAAGAGCATGGGTTGCATTTGCAGAGGATCTGGGTTTGATTCCCAGCTCCCACATGGAGGCTAACAACCATCAGTAACTCCAGTTCCAAGGGATCCAATGCCCTCTTCTGACCTCCTCAGGCATTGCACAACAAGGATGACTTACATGCAGGCAATACACTCATACACATAAAATAAAAAATAAAAAAATATTTTTTAAAAAAGAGTTCAGGGGCTGGAGAGATGGCTCAGCAGTTAAGAACACTGGTTATTCTTGCAGAAGACCTAGGTTCAAATCCCAGCACCCACATGGCAGCTAACAACTGTCCGTAACTCCAGTCCCAGGGGATCCAAGAGCCTCTTCTGACCTCCTCAGGCATTGCACAACATGGGTGCGCTTACCCATATACACATAAAATAAAAATAATAAATAAAATTTTTGAAAAAGTTCAAAATCAGCTTGGACTATACGAGACCCTGTCAAGAAAAAGAAGAAAAGGAAAATAAAGGAAAGGAAACAAAAGGGAAGCTATTATAGTTCACATGCCTAAGAGCTAGACTGGTCAGGTCTCTACCTTTTGCCCTATCTACTCTGGATCACTTTTCCCAGGATGTAATAATATATGACAAATACAATTGAAAATTCTACTCTCATTTTTTCCTTCCATCCATTACCTTAAAACTGGTGTGCATCTGTTTTTATAATATACATTTATATGCACAGACAACACACTGTACTGTATTTCTGCATATTTGAAATGTTAAATACATGATACATCAAATCTCTCTGTAACTTGCTTTTCTATTCATCTTTAGTAAATGTAACTTTTATTTATTCATTTTAACTTAGCTTAGCATTCCATCTGATGGACATACAGTTTACTAATCTAAATGTCTGCCAATGAACATCAGGTGGCTTTTGAATTTTTGGCATTACAAACAACACTGCAGTGAGCATCCCCTACATGTCTCCTTGAGCACAAGCACAAGTTAGAAGTTCTAGTCTACAGAGTGTACATGCATCTTCAACTTACTAGATAGGGCCAAACTGCACTCCAGATGGTAATATAAGCGCGTATCTACTATATAGTAATTCCGCAAATAATGCTTTCCAAAAAACTGAGCAGAGGGGTTGGAGAGATGGCTCAGTGGTTAAGAATACTGATTGTTCCTGTAGAAGACCTGGGTTTGAATCCCAGCACCCACATGACAGCTAATAACTGTCTGTAACTCTAGTTTCAAAGGGATTCGACATGTCCTCCGCAGGCACTGCACGACACAGGTTCACTTACCTACATAGAGGCAACACACGCATATACATAAAAATGATAAATAAGGCTGAGACAGAAGATTCAGAGTAGGAACCGAGCCTAGTCTACATAACAAGACCCTAACTCAGTTCTTAAAAAAGACAATGTATGGGGGGTATGGGAGGAGTTGGGGGGGAGAAGAGGAGAGGGATATGATCAAAATATATTGTATACAAGCATGAAGTTCTCTAAAAAGCTGAATGTGGTGGTGCATGCCTTTAATCCCAGCACTCAGGAGGCAGAAACAGGTGG